TATATATATGACTTATTTTATTACTTTAAACATTACTTTTGAAAACTTAATAAAGAAAATGGACCTTGGGAGGATTCGAACTTGTTCAACTGTGCAGATGGAACCACTGTCTTACCCAGCGTGCTTTGACCGATCGGCTACGGAGAGTTTCACAGATAAGATAGATACAACCTTGAGTCTACTCAAACACGGTTATGCACTCAAAATAAAGTTTGAAATAATATATATAAACTTTATATATATATATATATATATATATATATATATATATATATATATATATATATATATATATATATATATATATATTACGTCAAACTTTATATATATATATATATATATATATATTACGTCAAACTTTATATATATATATATATATATATATATATATATAGACAGTGGTTCCATCTGCAGTTGAGCGCAAGTTCGAATCCTACCAAGGGTCACATTTTCTTCTGCAAATTCGAATCCTACCAAGGGTCATATATATATATATATATATATATATATATATATATATATATATATATATATATATAAATGTTAAAAAGTTCAGTTCATAATATATATATGCAACCTTCTCCCCATGTTCTTTCGTGCTATGAAGTAGTAAGACTATATTGAATTCATGGCTAAATCAGCTGCTAAGAATGTCGATCACTATGTCGGACGAGACATTTTTCTCTCTAGAATGTATCTTACATATCTATAAGTCTACCATTCGTCCAAAGCTGTCATATATAGTACGATGTCCCTGGTATTTACCTTGAGCTTCTTCATAACATCCAAAGAAGAATCTGTAATATTATTGGTCCTGATCTGGCGTCTCAGCTCTAGTCACTTTCTTACCGCCGAAAGACTGCATCTCTATGGCTTTTCTATAAATACTTTCATGTTAATTCTTCGAATGAGCTCTTAGAGTTTTTTTTAATTTAACCGCTGCGCTAAACTGGCGTCGAGCTTTCATCAAATTACATTTGAGTTGGCTGGATGTAACTGTAAATTCTACGCTAATAGTTTCTTTTCTCGCACGACTCGCTCGTGAAACTCCCTTCCGGCTCCATGCCTTCCATCTTTGATCTGTAAAAATTTAATGCATTGTCAATTGATATCTACTTTTCACTTGATTGCTCTCCTCTCTTTCTACTCATTAATATTTTATATATATATATATATATATATATATATATATAGATAGATAGATAGATAGATAGATGAAAGGGAGTAAAAGAGAAAGAGATATAAATTTAAACCTTTTTTTTTTCCTTTAATAAATTACCTCGAATATCAGACCAGTAGACGAAAATAAATAAATATATTTAAATAAACCGAGCCTCAACTGAAATATGAGTATCTACTACAAATAACGTTTAAAGTGGTAAAAATCTGTCGTATTTATAAATAAAACTCCATTATTGCTTTATATATATATATATATACACATATATATATATATATATATATATATATATATATATATATATATATATATATATATATATATATTTTTTATATATATATATATATATTATATATATAAAAGTTATTTTTATTTTCTTTTATTCAATAAAGTTATATTTGTTTTCAGGCTGTACTATTCCTGTTTATTTTTTTTATATTTTATTAAAGATTGAAATAAATAAAAACCGTCATAAATTGAAAAATGCTACTGAAGAAAAATTGTCCTCTGACAGGAATCGAAGATAGCAAATATAGATTAATTGAATTCTCAACGAAAAACGTGCTTTCGTTAAAAGTTATTCAAATCTGGAACTGTCAGGCTGGTCTCCTTGGCCGAAATTGTAAAGGCTCAAAAAGTGGTTTCGATTCCTGTCGGAGTTCCAATTTTTCTTTCGTAGAACTTCAAAATCTAGGCCGGTTGTTATTAATTTCACTGTTTAAGAAAATATAAAAAAAAGATCTGTAATAGCAACTAAAACACGCGTACCCACCAAAAAATAAAGTTTCTACTATATATATATATATATATATATATATATATATATATATATATATATATATATATATATATATGTATATGTATATATATACATATGTGTGTGTGTGTATACTAGCTGCATGGCCCGAAAAGCCGAATGAAAAAAAATGAATGCTAACAAAAAATACTTTTTCACATCCAACCCAATACAAAATGGCCGCATACTACATGAAAACCTCTCTAGAAGCATGAAAAAATGGATTATTTCCACTATCGATGGAAGTTGGGAAATGCAAAGTCGGTCTTGGTCTCCCCGCTAACTTAGAGCATGTGCATGTAAATTTTGGTGCAAATCCGTCGAGTAATTTTGAGTAATGGATGGCGGCTAGGATTGAGAAATCGGGGAGCCGAGTTCGAATTACAATCGAATCAGATTCATTCACTTATGAGCATGGGTTAATAGCAGTTCAGACTCGGTTCTATAGCCTTCAATGGCAACTCCTGAATTCAAAACCAGCGGAAGTTCGTTTGGGGACTTTTTTGGCACATTGTGCACCAGGTCTCTGTATTCGGCTCTTCAAAAAGTGTGGCTGATTCTGCATAAAGCCTTCGCCACTATAATCAAATCTTATGTGCAGGCTGTCATTTCTTATGAACTGAGTGGTATGACCCTCAAGCATCGTAGGGTGAAGTATCGCGACAAAGGTAGTCTGGCCGTGCTTAGGATCCCTGGTAGGTCAACAGGAGAGTATATATATATATATATATATATTTAAAGAAAAACAGACCACTGTAAGGCTCCATTGTAATAGTTTATTTCACCAGAGACCTTTTAAAGTACCCTGGATCCTCAGACATCACTTTCAAAAGGTGAAACGAAAAATCCAGGGTACTTTAAAAGGTCTCTGGTGAAATAAACTATTACAATGTGGTCTGTATTTCTTTAAATTATTAGCTCTGAATTTACATTGAGCTCTCAGGATTGTATCCTCCTTGGGACTGCCCATACGGATTACCAAGTTTTTCGTAACTTATATATATATATATATATATATATATATATATCGTAGACTCTCTCTCTGTTGACCCGCCTATACACACACACACACACATATATATATATATATATATATATATATATATATATATATATATATATTGTTACAATTTGTACTCTGGGGATGGTCAAATTCATATTTCCTCAAAAGTAGAATATCTCTCTCTCTCTCTCTATCTCTCTCGCTCTTTCTTTCTCTCTAAGATAAAAAATAACAAGATGAGCGTGCAATTGAAAAAAAAAAAGAAAAATGTGGATTTTGATAGAAAGAACTTTGTGCCGAAAAGAAGTAATCGTCTAAGAAACAGCGATATCATGAAAAGACAAAAAAGAAATAAAGAAAAGAATAGAGAGAGATACATTGTAAGTGTAAAAAAAAATAAATAGAGAAACTTTAATTTTTCTTTTCACCCAGGCCGTAGAATACACACACAAACATTTTAAAGAAAATTTCATTGCACACATCTTTCCAGATCAAAAAGTATCTCAAGTTGTTGAGATATGAACATTTTGTTCTTTTATGCTCAGTTTTATTTCCGCTTAGTTGGATTTTTTTTTCTTTTTTTTGTCTTTTAGGGATTATTAATAAAAGGAGCTTATTCATTTAATCGCGTATTTTATGGTATCTTCTTTTTGGTCGCACGAAGCTTCTGTGTTGCATCTTCCACTGTTCGTTTGTGGTGGTGTGACATTCCAAAAAATTGTCCAACCCGATATCAGCAATTCACTCGGCGTTGTCCGGGCGGTGGATATAAATATAAGGGTTGTGACTTAATACTTGTCACCCTCGCCGGAAGTGAGCCCTGGTCGGAGAGGTTTCGTGACATAGTTTATGGTGTCTGGTTCCGGGATCGTCATTCTGAAAAACTGAAAGCGCGGGAAGTGACGCAGACAGGTAGACAAGCCAAAATGGAGTGGGTAGAGGATTTCGTTAAGGAGCCTACCCCAGAAAAAATAGGTGTACTGAGAAAAAGTGAATTGATAGAGATAGGCGAAAACGGGAATTAGGCTTAAAGTGGTCGATGAGGAAGAATGAAATAATTAGAATCGTTATGAGGCATATGATAGATGAGCATGTTTTGGGGGAAGAAGCGTTGGATGACCTACCTATAGAATCGGCGGACATGTCGGCAGCGCAAATTGAACAGGTTAAGGTGAAGGTACAAGCTAAGTTGGAATTAGAAAAGGCTCGGATCGAGCAAGAGACTAGGCTAAGAGAATTAAGCATCGCAAGAGTAAACCAGAAAGATAATAAAAGAGAGTTCGATATAACTAAACAAGTACGGTTAGTTTCGAAATTTGCGGAAACTAACATAGATGAATATTTCGCCCATTTTTAGAGGACCGCCCTGAATATGGAATGGCCCAAGCGATGTTGGACCATGCTACTGCAGACCGTTTTATCTGGCAAGTCCCAGAGAACCTACGCAGCATTGTCTGCAGAAGATTGCAAAAACCATGATATAGTCAAGACGGCGATTTTAAAAATTTATGAGTTAGTGCCTGAAGCCTATAGGCAGAGCCATAGAAAGGGCGAAGGTCAATCATATCTAGAACTTATTAAGGATAAGGCGGGACAGTTTGATAGATGGTGTACCTCGAACAATATCGGGGAGGTGTATAACAAGTTAAAATAGTAAATATTGATGGACGAATTCGTAAACTGTGTCCCCGACGAGATAAATGTATACTTAGGCGAGAGAAAATTGGAGACAGGTTACGAAATGGCGGCGTATCAGATGGGTAAGCTATCACTCATAAGAAAGAGAGAAGAAGATGTGACTTGGTGGAATAAGCGTATTAAGTCAAGGCAAAATCTGCGCACAGAGGCACGAGGGGATACCCGGGGAATTAAAGGGGATCAACCTTCATATAATGAGTGGCCAGTGATGCGGAAGGAAAACCAACCCATGGTCTACTATCGTTCTGGGAAGCCAGGACATATGGTGTCTAAATGTCAGTCGGGCAGAGGCCTAGAACCAAATAGAATCTCTATGGGTAAACCGGAGAGAGTGGTAAAAAAGAACAAGGCAGAGGAGACCTATCGTCCGTTTGTATCAAAGGGATTTGTATGGGACCCAAAGAGAAATAAGGAGATAGGCATAGATATTTTAAGAGACACGGGGTGGGGGCATCGCAGTTCCTAATATTAAGAAGATATGTATCTAAGGGCGCGCGAATCGTGTCAAATAAAACTGTAGTCATGAGGGGAATTGGCGGGAAGCCAGTGAAGACTCCACTGAATAGGATCAGCGTGGGATCCAGATGGAAGTCAGGGCCTATCACCATAGAAGTGGTAGACAAATTGCCGATGAAGGGTATATCATTATTACTGGGAAACGACGTAAGGGGAAAACTTGTATACTCCGAGAAGGGAAGAAGGCATGATGAAGCTCGGAGTTCGAAGAGGGAATTGGAGAGAAGGGATCGCGTGGCAAAAACGTCGGCGCGGTGGTGATCCGGTAAAGATCACACCGAGAGAAAATGCAAGGGGCGGAACCGCGGCAAAATCTGAATTTGCAACGTAATTCCAATAATCCCGAAGCAGAAGGCGGGGAGGGAATGTCTCCGCGCTTCCAAAAAAACAAGAGGAGAATTAATTGCAGAGCAAAAAAGCAGACGTTGATCACGAGCCTCTATACGCCCGAGTCGGAGTTAATAGTAGCGAAGACGCGCCCAGTCAATATTATCTAAAGGACGGAATATTGATGAGAAGGTGGAAGGCACCTCGAACAGATGACACTGGAAAATGGAACGTGTGGAAACAGTTGGTAATGCCATTAAAGTGTCGTAAGGAATTGATGAGCACAGCACATGGGGCACCAATGGCCGGACATTTAGGAATAGCCAAAACTTTTCGCAGGCTGACCAAGAATTTTTATTGGCCGGGGATCAGGAGTGACGTAAAGAAATTTTGCACATCATACGAAATCTGTCAGTGGACGGGAAAACATAATCAGGATATTCCTCTAGCTCTACTTCAGCCGATTCCAGCAGTCGAGGAACCCTTTTAGCAGGATTATTATCGATTGCGTGGGACCGTTAACCCGAACGAAGTCTAGAAACCAATATATGTTGGCAATGATGTGCGCAGCCATGAGATTTCCAGATGCCATCCTATTAAGGGCCATATCATCCCGAAAACTAGTGGAGGCAATGATTAATTTCTCCCTAATGTAGGACTTTCTAAGAGCATACAGACGGGCCAAGGATCCAACTTCCGACACATGGATAGACAGCTGGGAATACAACACGTAAAGTCCAGCGCATACCATCCGCAATCGCACGGGGTTCTAGAACGTTTTCATGCCACCCTGAAGAACATGTTGAGGGCATATTGCTTGGATTACAGAGCTGAGTGGGATCAGGGATTGCATTTTGTATTGTTCGCAGCTCACTAGTCAGTACAGGAATCCTTAAGCTTCAGCCCATCCAAGATGGTTTTCAGACATTCTGTGCGTGGGACCGCTCCAGTTAGTAAAAGAGCAGTGGAGAACCAAACCTTGCTCAGGACAATAGCAGAATACGTAGAAATAATGAAGCATGATTTGTCGCAGCTTAGAGCCTGACAAGAAAGCATTTGAAATGTAGCAAAGAGCGTATGAACCGAACATACGATCAAAAGGCGGTAGAAAGGGGGTTTAAGGAAGGCGATGATATACTTGGAGTGTCACCTGTGAAGGGCAGCTTTTCGACGCTAAACATCAGGTTCCGTATGTGACCGAGAAAAGGGTTAATGCGGTGAATTATATTATTACCCCGGAGCGCCGACGTAAGACACAATTATGTCACATTAACCGATTAAAGGTTTATGTTTGGCGAGCTGAGGATAGACCGGCTATGGCAGTAGAGGAAACAACCCAGAATGATGGGAAATGTTACTCTGAAGAATAAGGTAGGGAATGATCTACCTGATAATTCCGTAGTCTTGAATAACCTGGAAGATAAATTCAAACATTTTCCCTTGCGAGAAAGGGAAGAATTAACTTCCCTTATTCGGAAGTATGAGGAACTATTTTCGGATGTGCCTAGAAGCACGAGTGTAACAACCCATGATGTATACATGACCGACACAAAGCCTATAAAACAACATGCATATCGACTGAAACCCAGAAAGCTGAAAGTTCTCAGGTATGAAGGTGAATATATGCTTGACAATGGGATAATAGAACTCAGTCAAAGCGAGTGGGCCTCACCTTGTGTCTTGATGGATAAGCCGGATGGAACCACAAGGTTTTGTACCGATTATAGGTGGGTGAACGGTATTACCAAAGCGGACTATCACCCTATTCCACGGATGGAAGAGTGTGTTGTAGGTAAGGCACAATATATTACTAAGTGCGATTTATTGAAGGGTTATTGGGCAGTACCTCTAACAGAAAGGGCTAAGAGAATATCTGCGTTCGTGACACCAGAAGAAGCATACCAGTATCGGGTAATGCCTTTCGGCATGAGGAACTCGCAGGTGACATTTGTGAGACTCATGAATAGGTGCATAGCAGGAATACCTGGTGTAGATGCTTATATCGATGACATAGTGATCTATAACAATACATGGGAGGAACATATCGAGACTATAGAAAAGATATTTCAGAGATTAAAGTCCGCTAAGTTAGTTATAAATTTTTCGAAAAGGGACTTTTGCGTGGCAGAAGTCAAATATTTAGGTCATTTAGTAGGATATGGGAAGATTACCCCAACCGAAGCCAAAACCCGTGATATACTACGATACCCAACCCTGAAAAATGTAAGGTGTTTGGAGGATGCATTTCTATAATAAGAAAGTCTTAATAAGGTTAAAATTTATAGTAAGGGATTCTATTGAGTCCTACCTGTTAATACAAAAATGTTTTCTTTCATGAAGCAGATATAAAATAGAGAAATTTGAAATAGAACGTTTGGAAGATTCTAGATCATTCCAGCATATTCGAGAAGAAACTAGATGATTCGAGAAACATCTAGAAATATGCAAATTAGGTGTTAGCCCCTATAAAAATGGGATTTTGGAAAAGGGTTGTCAGTTGGTGAAAGGGAATTTCTGCTAGTATCAACTCCGGGTTTTTGATTCGAGGATTATTATATCCAACCAAAAGAATCTCTATGAAAAGTTGCCGACCAACAAAGCCCCAAAAGAGAACCCCTTGAAACAAATCTGATAAATAGAATTTTGACTAATTTTCATTGACCAAACTAAAAATAGATATTTATTTACACACCTTTGTGGATTTCCAAATATAGCACTTAGATTACTTCGCTAGCCCTAAAGTGGTAATAAGATTTGACTCCCTTTCCTTCTCCCTCCTAATACTTAAATGTACTGGTCCCAAGACGACCACTCCCGAGGCGCACGACGCGCCTCCGGCTACGGCAAACGAAGGCGTTCGACGAACTTAGGCATTTAACGATTCGACGGACTTACGCACTTACCTTCTAAGGCGCATTACGGGCGTCCGGCGACGGCAAACGAAGGCCTTCGAAAATTGGCACTACTTAGATATACTTAGATAAGTCCATAAATTCTGTGTTTTCTGTTTTTTGTAAGCCACAATTGTTTATCTTGTATATATTTTATGTTGTGTTTTAGTAAATTAAATATTTGTTTGTGATTTAGCTCTGTGTTGTGGTAAATCATTTTTCTCCTTTGTTACAATTATCAACATGTAACAAAGGGACTCAGGAAATTTTGAGGAATGGCTGGGTATTACCGAAAGTTTTGCGATAGCTTCTCAGAGAGAGCAGCACCCCTCACTGATTTATTAAAGAAAGGAAATAGGTTCCGTTGGACAGATGAATGTCAGGAAGCCTTTGATAATACTAAAAAGATGCTCGGCTTAAAACCAGTATTAAGGGCCCCAGATTTTGAACAGCCTGGCTGTGGACGCTAGCAATGTGGGAATTAGTGCGGTACTAATGAAACCAGATGAAAATAAACGATTACACCCTGTTAGCTACTATTCTAGAAAGCTCAACAAATTTCAAAAGTCATACTCTACGATAGGGAAAGAGGCTTTAGCGTTATTAAGGAGTGTGCAGTACTTTGAAGTTTATGTTACCTCCCGATTGGCAACTACAGTGGTGTATACGGATCAAAATCCGTTAATTTTCTTGGAAAGAATGAAAAATAAAAATAGAAGATTGCAGGGATGGAAGCTGGCATGCAGAAGTATCACCTAGAAATAAGACATGCTAGAGGCAAAGAGATTGTAGTTGCCGATGCATTATCTAGAAGTTAGTGAGATAAAGATTTCCAACTGAGAAAAAAAGAGAAATTAATTTCCTTTTTATTTTCCTTTGGGTGGGGAGATGGTATGGATTTGAACCCTGGGGCTGGTCAAATTTCCTCAAAAGTAGAAATAGTAAAAAGAGAGAAAACTTTAATTTTTCTTTTCGCCCAGCCCGTAGAACGCACACACAAACAATTTATAGAAAATTTCATTGCACACATCTTTCCAGACCAAAAATTAGGTGAATTACCCACAAGTCGTTGAGATATGAACATTTTGTTCTTTTATGCTCAGTCAGTTTTATTTCCGCTTAGTTCTGTTTTATTTTTTTTTTTTTTTTATTTATTTATTTTATTTATTTATTTTTTTGAGGGGTTATTAATAAAAGCAGCTTGTACTTTTAATCGCGTGTCTTGTGGTATCTTCGTTTTGGTCGCTCGAAGTTTCTGTGTCGCATCTTCCCCTGTTTGCTTGTGGTAGAGTGACATTCCATAAAATTGTCCAACCCGATATCAGCAATTCACTCGGAGTAGTCCGGGCGGTGGACATAAATATGAAGGTTGTGACTTAATATTTGTCACCCTCGCCGGAAGTGAGCCCCAGTCGGTGAGGTTTCGTGACAATATATATATATATATATATATATATATATATATATATAAAAAAAAAGCTTAAACACTAATATTCCATGGTCATAATTTATTCCATTAGAATCGTAAATACGATCCAATTCATCAGACCTACAAATTCAAAATTCAAATTTGTAGGTCTGATGAATGATTTACGATTCCAATGGAATAAATTATGACCATGGAATATTAGTGTTTTAGCCTTTTATTATATCCTTACTCTTTCAGACATTGAGTTCTACCTGGATTTTCCTCTTGGAAATTTTTTTCTGAAAATATACATGTATGGGTATTTATATATTTTGCATATGTATGTATATTTTCCACTAATATATATATATATATATATATATATATATATATATATATATATATATATATATACTTTAACAATCAGGAGGTCAGTTGAACCCGCTACCTTGATTTTTAAAGTTAAAAGATCTACATGTGTTTTTTACTCTTATTTTTTTTTACACATGTATTCAGCACTTTTTTATACGACTGTTTCCTGGTCTGACTCAACTCTGACCATTAACCTGTTATATATATTTGTTTTCTTGTCAAAGATACATTCTCCCATTTGAATTGATATATAATTTTAACAAGACGCTTTACTCTACACATGTCTGACCATTCGTACATTGCGAAACTTTTGTGCCAGCTTTCCTGTCCACATTCACAGTACAATGGAAGTTATTCTTACTGTTACAGTGCATTTCTTGCCTCATTTAATTATGATATACATAGAAATATTAGTGAATATGAAAGGATTATGATCAACATAAGCAGACATAACGTTTGTAACTTATTCAATCATGCATACCTGAAAGAGAATTTAATTTTAGATTAAATAATCCACCAGCCGACCTGGCAATTTAAACTGGCCTTGTGAAAAGGCAGATCGAAATAACTAATGACAACTTAAAAACTTTCAACAAACGGAAGTAAGAGTTACATAACACCCTAAAAAGGACAACAACTTCTATTCGCAATAACTCATCCTCTCCTACTTAGGTATTACAAAAAAAAACAACAACATTATATATCAATTCAAATGTCCCTTGGGAGTATATATCTCCGACAAGAAAACAAATATATATCCTGGATATATGACAACTACATTATCAAAACGCCTTATTCTACACACACACACACACACACACACACACACATATATATATATATATATATATATATATAGAGAGAGAGAGAGAGAGAGAGTTAGTTTATGCAAATTTAGGTAATCCGTATGGGTAGACCTGAGGAGGATGATATCCAGAGAACTCAATGTAAAACTCAGAGCAGTTATGTTTGAATAAAAGACAGACCACGTTAAGATTCCATGTAATAAGCTATATCACCATAACCCCTTTAACAGGGTTCTGGATCATCAGACTTTACTTCCAAAAGCTGAAATGAAAAATGAAAAGAAATTCACACGTTTTTTACGGACCTCATATATATATATATATATATATATATATATATATATATATAGAGAGAGAGGGAGATTTTAAGACATTTTTATACATGCTTTTTATAGATACAAATATTTAAGTAAATGCTCTGTTTTATAATAAACATTATTAAACAACATGAATGTCCGAGAAAATTTGACAGAAAATATCCTCCGGATTCGAACCTGTATTCTATACGGAACCGTCACTTTAGCTTGACGTGCCTTAACGCTCGGCCACAAAGGAACGTTCGGTGGGCAAGGTCGAATTTTACTGTATTTAAACTTCAATCTTCCATGAATCTCTCACGTACATTCATATCTGCTCATGGTGTATCAAATGTAAACAAATGACGTCACACATTATGAAATGGACAAAGTCCGACAATTATTTTAAGATTTGAATGTACGTGAGAGATTCATAGAAGATTGAAGTTTAAATACAGTCAAATTTGACCTTGCTAACCGAATGCTTCTCTGTGGCAAAATCGGTAAAGGCACGTCAAGCTAAATGACGGTTCCGTATAGGATACAGGTTCGAATCTTGTCGGAGGACGAATATTTTCTATGAAAATTTCTCGGACATTTAGACCGGTAAATGTTGTTTAATACTGTTTATTATAAAACAGAGCATTTCTGTATGTATTTCATGTATCTATAAAAAGAATGTATAAACATAAAAATGTCTTAAAATAATTGTCGGACTTTGTCCATTTCATAATATATATATATATATATATATATATTTGAAAATCGTCAGAGATGATTTCCATAAACGTAAGGGCATTCAGGAGTTTTTACTCTCAACTATAAATCAAATTTAGCTTCTAACCAAGATCATATGGAACGTTCTCTGATGGTGTAATGTGACTTCTAAAACAAACAAAAAAATAGACATTCTTAAAGTCTCTCTTTCACAAATTTTAAATCCTTCGTTCTCGAAACGAACAAAGTTGAACCCATGTCCAAAATATCTATATAGCAACAAATACACAGGAAAAATACCTTAGTAAATTAAGACTAAATACATTAAGAGAAAGAGAGAAGATTGGTAGGATGTAAGGAAGACGCACACTTTTATGCACATATATACACGACGAATAATAAAGTGTTTAACAGACCGACGAACTATTGTGTAAATCTTAACCTTCAATGAATGACCACTCAATACTGAGTTTTATTGTTCAAAGCTTTTGCCCTACAGCCACCCACCGGATTTGTATAGAGACGAACCCAAGCAATAATTTACAGTAGTGGATCCTCCATTATAAGTAGATACTGACTTTACAATGGGTAATTTGGCGTTAACAGCAGAGATATAAGTATCGCTTGGTTTATAGATCGGACGGTAATTTCTGAATAAAAATCAGAGAAGAAAGGTAGGGAAGGCGAAGTGAGAGTCCAGAGACTTGACATTTCTCTGTTGACGTATCAGTTGAAGAAGAAATTAATAACTAAAGTTAGAAGTGTAAATCAAAAGTCTACTCGGCTCATCTGTGGAAAAATATACATTTTGTTAGATGGGCATTTCGATGTGGCGTAATGGTTACCAAGCTTGTCTAGCTAAATCAATTCCGACTGAGTAGTTGATTTGATTCTCACTGGTTGCTTCATACGTTCCGTCTTGTGCCACATCTAAGCTACGTTTAGAAAATCATTTAGGGCACTTCGACGTTGTGTAATGGCTAGCAAGCTCGTTTCGTTTGATTAATTACGAATTTGTAATGATTTCGATCTTCCCAGGGTACGCCACACTTTCGGCCTTGTGTCACAACTAATCTTCACTGAGTAAATTACTATAAATCTTCACTGAGTAAATTACTATATATTTTGTTGGGTGTGTTAGTAAAAGTGATATCAGACCGATAGACGTAACACACTCTGTTAAAATAAAAACGAAAACGGAACGTCTATTTCAAATACGAGTATTGACTAATAATAACGTTTCACGAAAAATATATAACAAAATGAAATTATTACTACTGCTATACAACACAGAGCAGGATACAAAGGCAAAAGGTACTAATAACAATAAATGCCTATCTATCGGCTTGATTAAAAAGAATTAGCCGAAAACGGCGAGGACAATAATTGCTACGGCAGTTTCTTATCTTAGTCCTCGTAAAAGAAAGACTGTAAGGGCAGTAGAAAAAATGAATAAAAACTTTCTGTGAAGCAGAAAGGAGGATTACTGTCCTAATATGCACACACACACACACGCACACACACGCACACACACCAGCTACCTCAACTGAAGAATAAGATGGGAATATAATAGGAATCAATACTGTATGGTAATTGTCTCCAGAACTAGCTCCTGTTCTCTCTAAACTGTATAAATGCCTCCCCGCCTCCTCCTTTCCTGCTTGCTTGAAGTCATCGTCTGTTGTTCCAGTTTTTAAGAACTCTGGTGATCCGTCCGAACCATCCAACATTGGCCTATTAGCCTTCTGCCTATTTTTGAAAAACTCCTACAGTCCCTAATCAATGCTGAATTGGTTCATCATAGGGCCTTTTCTCGGACAAGCAATACGGATTTCGTCTCTCCAGATCAACTGCTGATGTAGTAACGATAATTGCGATAATCACTGAGATCATCAAACCAATTTAAATAATATTAAACCATACATACATACATACATACATATATATATATATATATATATATATATATATATATATATATATATCCTAGCAGTATAACCCCCGTTTTCACCGGGTCTTTCATTACTGGGAATTTTGGGCGTTCAGTTGGAGCAGTTTAAGTTTAAAGTCAGCCCACCCGTTAAATCAATATTAGTAACATCATTTGGGTGCAACTGAGGCACATCCCCAAATGAGGGGATTAACAATTTGAATGGGGGGGGTGACCCTGAAAAGCATACTGTCTAATAATAAATAATATTATTGTAATAATTTAGTAAGGTTTGTATCACTAAAACCATTATTATCACAAAAAAATTCTTACAATCTAAAAAAAAATTCTGGCTTTAAATAACCTGCAGAGGTTTGATAAGCCATAGAATGCAAATCCATCAATCTGTTACGCTATTCCTTTGGGTATAATGGCTGACCGCTTTCCAATTATAACCCTCTCCTTGCGTGGTTATTTAATACCAGTTGCACACGAATCGATGGTCTAGTGCAAGGGTTTTCAAACTGTGGTCCACGGACCACAGGGGGTCCGTAAGGACAAGATAGGGGGTCCGTGGACAGCAAAGACTTTTTTATGTGTGACGTGCAACTTGTAAGCGCTTATAAGTAACTTATAGGCCGATCATGAAAAAAATTGATTCAATAAACTATTTCATAGAACTGATATACTAATATAATTTGTATCTTAAATTGATAAAGATAATGGATTCTATTCATGTAGAAAAGGAACCAAAGGATTTGAATTTTGGATCTATTTTGCGATTCCTGTGTGTGTAATTGACAATAAAACTATTTGTTAAATACTATTACTGTTTTCATTTACCTGAAAAATTAATATTTTAATATAACAACATTTAATTTTGTTACATTTTGCAGCAACATGCAACATTAATTTATTTGAACACTTATGTCTAAAGTAAGCTTTAAACCAGCTTTTACTGCATTAATGCAAAATTATGTTATATTCAGCAAATATTTATGTATAAATTTCATAAGCGTTTATAAGGGGGTCCCTAAGGTAAAGCCTGAAATATAAAGGGGTCCGCGAGTCAAAAAGTTTGAAAACCCCTGGCCTAGTGTATTAAACCTTCGATTCGGGAATTTAGTGAGATAGTATTTGTATGTTAAATCCCTGAATCGTGCGTTTTGTACTTGGACTCATTGGAGACAGGGCTTGCAATAGCTGAGCTGTAGTACAAATAAGAACTCAACGAGATATCACGAGACATGGACAATGGAACTAATAAGATAAATGATCCAGATCAAAATTCCCTGAAGGTTACTCAGATAGACAAAGCAGCTGAAGAAAACCGTGGGACACAACATAAAACGAGCCCAATATTTCTCCCGTAGGTCAAATACAGGTGAAAGGTGCCCAGATCAATAAGCACCTGAAGAAATCCGGAAACAACAACAACTAAAATGCTGTGATCGCAACAACAAAGATGAGGACAATTGTCAATTTGTAAATAATGGAGATGCTGTTCTAATTATAAATAATATTTATTAGGTTGGTGCAAAAATAATGACGTAATAATGTCGTTTTTTGACGTATTTTTTAACGTCAGAATGAATTAGAAATTCGGGATCAAATTGAAACTATCCAAATTATTGTTCAGTTCGAAACTTTTAGAATACTGAGGAAGGTTCTGGAGATTTTAGCAAAATAACTGTTGCTCACTCCCTATCTATAACAGGTCTGGACAATAAAAATAAATTGCTCGCAGAAAATTAGACGCGAGCTGGATGAGTAAATTATTCAGTATGAGTGAGATAAAAACAGATATATAGAGAGAGTGAGATAGAAACAGATGTATATATATATAGAAAGAGATAGAGATAGAAGCAAATATACAGAGAGAGAAAAATAGAAATTGATATATATAGAGAGAAATATAGAAACATATATATAGAGAGAGAGTGAGATAGAAACAGATGTATATATAAAGAGGGAGAGAGAGGGAGAGATAGAAGCAAATATAGAGAGAGGAAAATAGAAACTGATATAGAGAGAGAGGAAGATAAAAATAGATATATAGAGAGAGTGAGATAGAAACAGATAAAATTGAGAGAGAGAGAGAGAGAGAGATAGAAACAAATGTGTGGAGAGAGGAAGATAGAAACAGATATATATATATATATATATATATATATATATATATATATAGAGAGAGAGAGAGAGAGAGAGCGATATAAACTGATATATAGCGAGAAGGAGATAGAAACAAGTACATGGAGAGAGGGAGATAGAAACAGATATCTGGAGAGAAGGGAGATAGAAATAGATATATAGAGAGAGGTGTTGACGAGAAATTTCTTTCTTCTTTTTCTACGGGAATTAAAAGGATTAATTAGATATTAAAAAACAGTGAAATATAGGCTAAATAAAGTCATGCTTCCGCAAAACTGAATTTTTCGTACGCGACCAGTCGCTGAATTTATTCTTCCTTAGGTGCCATGCGTCATGCACGCTTGGGCTACCATGTTTCTTTTTGATACATGATTGACTTGCTAAAGTAATTCTTGCAGTATGCTGCCGTTACTTTCTGTAGTAGTTTGGTTGACAATAAAATTAAAGGTATTTAACCTATATAATTTATTCTAATGAACGAAAAAATTGTTCATATTAAAAACTCCTCACAAGGCACATTAGGTAATCTTGCGGGCCGGATGCGACCCAGGGGCCGGATGAGACCCAGAGGCCGGATGAGACCCAGGAGCCGTATTTTATGCAAGACTGGCCAAGATATAAATGCAAGTAGAAACACCAGTTGGTAGACTAAAAGACTTGCAAGTGTACAACAGTTGGTCGGCCAGAAGTTGTATTTTGATATAATCACTATTATTCTCGTATAACAAACAGATATGGAGCACCTCGAGGAGTTCTAAAGGTTATCAAGCTTGTCTCGCTAGAACAATTACGCCTGAATAGTGAGTTCAATTCTCACTGAGTGCCCTTTACATTCGGCTTTGTGTCAACATCTAAGCTACGCTTGGAAAATCACTATAACCAACAGATATGTTAGTAACGGGCAAAAGCATGACATATAAATAATAATACGAAGAAGATGAAGAATTTAACGAAGCCGTTATATCCCACAAAGAATTATCAATTTATCACCATTATAAGTCATCATCCTCAAGTTCCCAGACCAGCTGTAATCGTAGGTTCGCTGCATCTCCAAATGTCTCTGTTGCATGCCAATGTCTGGATCTCAGCGAATGATCTTCCAGTAAAATTCCCGAGCGACGACCGTCCCGGTATGAAAGTGGGAGAGGTATACGTTCATATATAGTGTGTCTTACGAAAGTAGACACAAACGGAACCCATCCTTATCCAGTTCAGACCACAGCCTATGTTCTCCAGCTTGAAAGCTCGCTTTGGTCTCGGGCACTAGCGGAATCCTCCGCCCTGGTTGTTGACTTCAGTTTAGAAAGTCCTCCTCCAAACGATAAGATATATTAGGGAAAAAAAGCATAATTCGTTAGATTTTTTTTTCTACATGTTTCTACTATGTTAAAATCTAAACAAACGGTGTCTTTTATAATATTATTTCAAAAGTAGGCGTGTCAGCGTTCCGACCATGAGAATCAGGTTCGAATCTCAACACGGGTGATTTGTTAAATAAGTTAGTTCTTGATATTGGCCTGTGGAGGCGATCCAGTGCGCAGTACTGTTGTGACATGTTTAGAATCCATACCAAGGGTTATCTCAAGCCTTATGAATGAAATTAGATAAATGAAACTCTTCGGAAGTTGTG